TCCCTAATAGGAACCCATGTCCGTTAATTATATGGACAATTTTCAATCTAGCTCATGTGGAATTCTCAAGAGTTCGAATATCGGCCTGCTTTATTTAGTCTGTCTGTAGCTATTCTTTCCTGACGTCCAAAGCACAAGTAGACGTCAGAAAAGGCAACATGGCTTGGGAACAGTTTCAACTACGTTCGGGTTTGTGTTCGAATATCGTCCTGCTTTGTTTAGTCTGTCTGTAGCTATTCTTTCCTGACGTCCAAGACACAAGTAGACGTCAGAAAAAAAAAACAACATGGCTTGGGAACAGTTTCAACTACGTTCGGGTTTGTCGAACATATGGGGGTTTCTCAAGATAGCTTCACAGGTGACCCAACAATCTTCCGTATACCTCTGCGGAAGAATCAATGGGCCCTTGATGGAGCTTCCTGAAGTTCGCATGATGTTTTACAGCCACCGTCTCTCTGAGGTGATCCCTCGTCCTCTCTCCCAAACTAGTACTAAACCGCCAGAAGAGCCTACATAGAATTCAGTTTCTTTAACCAATGGTGGTCGTTGAGTGAGGACTGGTCACAGGCTTCCTGCTGGACAGGATGGACTGCTGACATTCGCTGACATGCAGTATGATGAGACATTGAAACTTGATAAATTTACCCAAACGAGGTTTGTGGCACTTGAGGATACAACTCTCAGCCCGAAATTTTGGCCTCAAACTTAGAACTAAGCCCTAGACATCTCAAAGCCTCTTGTTCTACCATGCATGCGTAGCTGCTACTTCCACTACAGGCCGCTTGGGAAGCGGAGTTCGCCGATCAGAGTGTGCAATACATTGGCGCTGCTTCCGGCCCACATGACTCTGAGTGGAGTTGATGGCGGTGAGCTTTTTTTAGATGTGTTTTCCTGGAAGTCTGCTGCAAGGGGGTCTCTGCTGAGCACGGAGGGTGGTGAGTAGTTCCCCATGGGAGCCAGCAGTTTCAGACGGAATGTCTGAAAAGCCTGTAATTCTGGTAGGTGCAGACTTGCCTCCTGTGAGGCCGGTGTGCGGGGTGTTCTTCCCTTGGTAGTTCCAGAGACGGTGTCCAAAGTGTTGTAATCCTATGCAAGGCCGTTCAACACAGATATCACACGGCCGCAAAGTCAGTAGAGCTTTTAAAGTCACCTGTCAGGAAGGAACCACCAAGTTTAGGTAGCAGTTCTTGCTTTGTGCTGGCAGCCGCATCGGCGGGCATGCAGCACTAGCCCGACTGCTTTGCGAAAACTTTAGACCTGATTTGATTTCCTACTTTCCCTTGCACAGGACTTGTTCGAAGCTATGCAGGATGTTGTAGCAGTATGAGAGAGTGTCTATTGAACCCGTCTTGTATTTATGTAAGGCCAGCTATCACTAGAGCATTCCTGGCCCAACCAAACATCCAACTTCCAGCGGATGTGGTTCATCAGAAGAGCGGGGCATGTAGGACTAGATGCGGGCTTGAAGGGGATGATTCAAATTTGGGATGTGAGGTGTGTAGCTCCCTAAACCCTAAACCCGTCCATCTTTGCGCATCCCTAGGTTGCCTCAACCCTAAACCCTCAACGTTTGTCCAACATGTAGCAGATAGTGTTCAGAACTGTGGAGTGACATTTCTGCAATTTCAAACTGGGACTGGTGGATTTTCCCAGTATCTTGCTCCCATAGGGTTTACGGTTTAGGGTTGGGATCATGCATGGATAATGGGGCCTCCCTTTGCAGGACTACATGAGGAAGATATCGATAGGCTACCATATGGTAGTTCCTTAAATAAAAGGACCCCAATATAGAGCCCAAAGTGCTATCATCCTTTTGAAAGGAACCCCCTAACCCTAATCCCCTACCTAT